AATTCTTTAAAAATCCTACAATGTGATTTTCTGGATTTTTTTTTCTCATTTTGTCTCTCATAGTTGAGGTATACCTATGATGAAAATTACAGGCCTCTCTCATCTTTTTAAGTGGGAGAACTTGCACAATTGGTGGCTGACTAAATACTTTTTTGCCCCACTGTATGTGGGGGCGTGTTCGAACGAGCCGTTTTAGGTAGGTGTGGCTAACTCTTAACTTTTATAAAGAATATCTCTTTGGATTTGAGACTTTAGTCTTTGCAACTTTACAGATCTTCTTTATGCACCAAGAGCTTGTAACACTCTAAAGAGAAAGGAAAAAATGAAATCGCATCATATGACCCCTTTAAGTGATTTTTTTTTTTTATTAGAGAGAATTAATGTTTAACTAAAATGCCACTGAAAAAGGAATGTTTAAGAAGCGAGAATGTAAAAAAGCAGCAATGAAAAAAAGACACAAACAGAACAACTATCACGTCACATTTCTAACAACACAACTTGGACAAGGAGTCATTTCCTAACAGAAGAACAGGAGGTAAATGGATGTTCGTATGCCTGGCTGTGTGTGTGTGTTATACCTGGTTGAGCAGGCTGAAATGGGGCTTGTGGAGCTGATGGAAATGTTGCTGTGTTTGGAGCAGCAGAACTATTGAACGCATCAAAATTCGCAAACTCTGCATTAGAATTCACATTCTGCACTGCTGGGGTCCACCACAAACAAACAAACAAAAAAACACAAACAGGGATGAGGAATGACAGTGAAACAAGAATGAAACTATGGGATGAACATGTCCAGCGTTTAGGTCAATTTAGTTTCTTTCCAGTCAGGAGATTTTGAAAGTTTATCTTAAAAATTCAGTTAATTCTCACATTAAAATGAAATCTTGTAAATTTAAAAAAATCTAAACAGTAACCGTTCCGACTTCAACACTGGTTGCGTATGAAGGCACATTACACACACTGATATAAAGTGGAATGATATAATGTTGAATACCACAAACCTGCTAAAAGCACACTAATAAAGAAACTACACAAAGACAAAAAAGATGACATGAACAGAAACCCAGAATGCACTGGCTCCAAATTCAGCCGTGCACATTTTAACAGACAAGGCAGGTTTGGTCATAAAGGCTTCCAAATGGTGTGTGTAATGATGACCTCTGTACCTGTTTTCTGGCATTAACCGATAAAACGCACAATCATTATCCTCTAGATTCATGGATAACATTCATGAGGGGTTTTGCGGCAGTGGCTGTCAATAGGTCTACTGCAGCATGATGGGAAACCAGACCACATCACCCTAGCAGTTGTCCTGAACCTTAAAGTACTGCTTTTCAAATGGATGGTTTAGTTTGTTAGTGTAGTGTGGGTGTGCTCTTACCTGAATGACTGTTGAAATGTGCAAAGTTGGCAAAGTTTGCCTTGCCTGTGGACTGCGAGTGCGGAGCCGCAAAAATGTCGCCACCTAGATCGCTGAGCAGATCGAACTTCCTGTCCTGATGCTGCTGATGGGTCAGCTGAGTGCGTGACACAACCGGAGACTGAGAGAGCAAAAAAAAACAACAACCCCGCAAAAATTCAACCAGAAATGTGTATTATGAAAGTAGTTTGTATATAGTTAGGGCTCAGTAAGTCTCTTATGCTTACCAATGCTGAATTTATTTGATCAAAAAAAGTATAAATTATGAAATACTATTACAATTTAAATGAACTGTTTCCTACTGTAATATACAGTATTTCAAAATGTAATTTATTCCTGTGATGCTAAGCTGAATTTTCAGCATCATTTTTCCAGTCTTCAGTGTCACATGATCCTTCAGAAATCATTCTAATATGCTGATTTGCTGCTCAAGAAACATTTATTATTATCAGTGTTAAAAACAGTTGTGCTGCTTAATATTTTTAAAGAAAACCGTGATCGATTTTTTTCAGGATTCTTTGTGAATATAAAGTAAAAAAGAAAAAACAGCATTTATTTAAAATCGAAATCTTTTGAAACATTAAAACTTTTTTCCTGACACGTTTGATCAATGTAATGCATCCTTGTTGAATAAAAGTAATTTTATTATTCATTCACAGTATTGTACATATAAATATATATATATTAATCGTGCCCGAGTGCATTTGACCCCCAAAGCCCGGTTTGTTTGACTAGTGTGATCGCTCCATACTGCAGTTCGTTTACCCGTCCCTGGCTCGGTTGGAAGAGGTGGGCCAGAGTGCGGTTCAGTTATACATAGATCAGTGAGTGTGAGCGCCAGCCGCGCCGGAGCGCAGAACTTATGATACGTGCATGATTGCGTGAACATTTCTGAGCAGCAAGAGTGATAGATCTGTAAAGCAATATATTGTGAAGAGGGCCGTGTGTTACTGCGTCCCAAACGACTCAAAATAATAAACCACAAAGTTAACAAAATGATGCACTCCACTGTGCTGAGCGAGAGCGCTTCTCTGCTGTCTTCATGTGCTATCAGAAGAGCCAGTGAGCAACGGACTTTCATAATAATAAAAAAACTGCATTAATGCGCGATAAAATAATTGTCGGCGTTAATCAATTAATGCGTTAACGCGATAATAAATAAATATATAATTTTGTTACCTGGCTAGGTGTGTTTTTGTTGAGGTGTAAAGTGGGTACTGATTCCCCCAGTAATGTTTTGAGAGGTCGGACCTCTGGAGTGCTGCTGGTGCTGCTAGCAGATGAACCAGAGACAGACGCATGAACCGACGTCACCGTCTTAGCCTGCTCTGGAGGAACATACCTGAAAGAAAAGAATGAAAGACATTTAAATGAGCAGAGCACACATACACAGCGATGTGTTTATTTTATCCTTATGATACAGAGAAAAATATTTGCCTATGCAAATTTAATCTTAGAGGTGTACAGTGAACAATGGAAAAGTTTCAGGAAATACCAGGATAGAATTAATCCATATAACACCACTAATGCAAAAAAGGTGCACATCAAGACTATGAGACCCACTTACTTGTGGGTTTCAGTTTGTATTAATATTTTATTTTCACATAATAAAATAACTCTTCACATTTATTTATTTATTTGCTTTGTATTAAGTGGGATAACGTACAGCCCACTTTACATAGTGGTTTATTGTGCGATAATGATGACTGACTGTACACGATTCCTCAGTTAAATATCAAATATAATAATCAACATTTTAGCCCATGTTGTTTCTCACCATCGCTTCTTTTCGTATTTGTCCTGAAGAAACTCTTTGACTTTCTGAGGTTCTCTAAAGTCTGGGACGGCCAAGTTTCTGTCATCATAAAGTCCGAGCCATATCGGTTTACATACCTGCATATACATGAAAACACACACAAAGAGAGAGAAAGAGAGAGCTCATCAGACATTCATAGAGCAAATATAAACATAAACATGTGAAACAGAGATTCATCTGTCAGAAAACATGAAACATTTTGATTTCAAGGGTTCTTAAGAGCAACACAGTCACTTTAATTCTCAGTTTAAGAAAGAGAAGACAGAAAAACAGAAAGATCCTTCAAACAGACAGTATCTTTTTCACTACCTTGTGTCTGTGAAAAAAAACAAAAACAAAACAAAACAATGCAGGCATTCATACTAAGGAAAGTCTTGTTTTAAATACACGCGTGCTCACACACACACACATACACATTCTCAAAGAAGGAAACCAATATCTCAAGATGACATTTCAGAAAACATTTAAACTCTTCTTGGTGACAAACACTCATGCACTCAGATAACACAACTGATAAACAAAAAGGCTAAGTGTAAGGCTTCACAACCACTACATGCCAAGTATGTGTGAAAGCTCTCACAGTTCTGAAGACACTGCCTCCATTTAGATATAATCAATGCAGACACACATTTGTGTGTGTAAACACACACCCTTTGGAAACAGCGGTAGCAGCTTATTAATTATGAATAGATACAGCAGAGTGAAGACTGCATTATCACTTGACTTGAGGAGCCATACAGACACTCAAGGAAGGGCTCTACGAGTCTCAAACGTTAATGTCAGGTCTCTACGCTTACTTTTCTTTTTAGGAGCACTTGTTTATTTGTTAATTATATTTTATAAGCTTTTTAAAAATTTTTATTAAAACGACAGAATCAACTGCCAGCAGGTGGCGGCAAGTCACTGATTTTTTAATCACTGAATCATTCATTCAATTGATTAGTTCGAACAGCTGATTCATTCAGGAATGAAGCAAGTGACTGTCTTTATGAATGTGTCTTTGTTTTAAACTATTTTCGACGACGAAATAGAGCAAAATCAGACAATAATGTTATAGTCAGACAGACAAAGTCACTTAATATTAACTTCTTGTTTATTGAATTGTATTGTATTAAATCAGTATCACATTTAAAAACCCCCTAAAAAATCATTAAAAGCTGTCACTCATCTTTCGATCTCACATTTATAATCAACGAAGCTCTCTACACTGCGCAATGAATCTCTTATTTACACCCTGTCTACACTTTGCTTATGAAAGGATTCGTGAGATATGTCTGTGATACATTACTCAACGCTGCAAAAACACGTAGAAACCTTTGAAGATCCCCTGAGCGCAATCACAAGTATGATGATGATTGGGTCAGTCGCACTGGTGCTCCTAAAAAAAAGGTCATAGTCGCACGCAGTAGTTTTCAGTCACAAATGTCCAAGAGAAGACAGGTTGGGCTCATTCATGAATTAAATCCAAAACTGACCCAAAAATCAGTGCAGCTGCCTTCAGCAGTTCAGAATGGCATACTAACTAAACTAACCACTGTGCAGTACACAGTACATACTGAATACTATCAAAAACAGCATGACGTTTTGCAACAATAAATTTTTTGTTGTCACATGAGGGGTCACAACCATCAAAATACGGAATAAAATACTGATAAACTCTGTTAATTTAATTTAAATTAGTTAATTTAACTGTCTTTAAAAAAAAGAAAAAAAAGAGAGCAAAAGCAGTCATTTCAAATGCTACAAGTAAATTTAGGCATCACAACAAAAAGATTCTGCTGAAAATTATACTTAATGTTATTAAATTATTATTGTTTTTAAAGAACTTTAAGTGAGTGTTAGATAAGTGTTCCACAGTGTTCCAACCAGATGTGAAGCAATGCCGCCACACGTGATAAAAGGTATCTTTTCCATGTTAATGGTGACAAACAAATTTCTATTTTAGAAATGGTTTCTATTTCTGTGGCGTCTCGGCTGGAACAACAACATACAAACTATGTAAAAAAAAAAAAAAAAATATGACGATGATAATCTCAGGTACTGATCATGTGCTTTATTCAATGTTAAAAGTGTCTAATGTGAGTTTCATATTGCGTGGGATTTATGGCCATACTGAAAGCAACAACAGATAGTTGATAGATACCTCAGATCTTAAAAAAAATTAAAGCAAACATGTACTTAAAATTGTGAACTCAATGCGAACCATAACAAAGATGGTATCAGTCACTCGGTATTTACTTTTAATAATGTTAAAAATGTTGAATATTTATGAATTAGATGATAAACTTCCATTTCATTGGGAGTGCTGTGCGCTTCTGTGCTTCTGACAGGCTGTGATATTTGAGTGATTCTGTCATGTTGCGTCTGGTGTGGACAGCCAACTTGCTTGTCGCTGGAATCTTGTCGTGTCGTGTCTGATTAGGACACTGTGTTAGAAGACATATTTATGTTATAGTACCCTATTTTTGTTACAACTGGTGGGTCTCAACCTCAAACTCTTTTATAATAGGGTCATAAACAGCTGGAAAAAAAACAATGATAAATGCAAAAAATGTACTGTATATTTAAAATGGCAAAACATATAGGCTTATCAACTTTTTAAAAGGAAGTTAAAACACTTTACACGCACTACTCTTCAAATGTTTGGGGTCAGTACATTTTTTTTTAAAGAATGTTTCAATTATTCATAATTGATCAACAGTAAATTGAGCAAAAATGATATTTCAAATTAATGCGGTTCTTTTAAATGTTCTATTTATCAAATTTATCCTGACTGTATTCAACTGTTTTCAACATTGATAATAAAAAATGTTTCTTGATCAGCAAATCAGCATATTAGAATGATTTCTGAAGGATCATGTGACACTGAAGACTGGAGTAATGATGCTGATGACAATTCAGTTTTTCCATCACAGGAATTAATTACATTTTAAAACATATTCAAATAGAAAAAAATATTTTAAATTGCAATAATATTTCACAATATTGCTGTTTTACTGTATTGTTTATCAGATAAATACAGCCTTTGTGAGCACAAGAGACTTGCAAAAAACATTACAAAATCTTACCGACCTCAAACTTTTAAATGGTAGTGTATCTTGCGTTGTTCATAATGATTGTTTGTGCAATCAAACTCTGCAATATTTTGCCACAAATTCATATGTTACTTAGTAAGCTAGACAAATTACTGAAGATCTGCCAACATTAACAGTTTGCGTGACATGCCCTCATTGTCGAAAACCAAATCAGAAGTTCAGATTGACAGATGCTGTGAGATTTTAATACACCAAACCTACTGTGTGATCAAGCCAGTTCGAATTGGACCCACATAAAACAACGCCATAAAACAAAACGCACGCACGCACGCGCACGCACACACACACACACAAATAAGAATCATCTCAACATGAAACATAATTTCCAGCTCATCCTCATAAATCAGGCCTCACGAGACCTGGGAAAAATCCTAGGAATGTTGAGTTAAGCAGAGATGGAGAAAGGGAAGGGGGAGATGAAAAGTGGTCTTGTCGCCTAGAAGAAGCTCTTAGAGAAACACAGACCTAGACTTTAGAAGAAATCACACCTGCTTTCAAAAAAAAGTGTCAAATAAAAATATAAAAAATTAAATCAATAAAAAAGGAATAATAACCGTCTAGAACTGCCATTTTTAGGCCATGTCCACACGTACACGGGTATTTTTATAAACAGAGTTTTTCCTTCTTCCGTTTTAAAAAAAATCTCCGTCCACATGAAAACGCAAACGCATGCTATGAAGCACTGTCAAGAGCATGCCAAACCAACAGGTGGCGATATAATCTCAACCGTAAAGCCATGTTGGCCAATCAGAAGCCTGAAAAAGTTTCCAGTAGGCGGAGATAACGGCGCAGGCTCTGACGTCACAAGCCAAAAACTCCAGTTTCACTGTCTACACGATAACACTGCAACAGAGTTTTTGAAAATCTTCACCCTGGCAGGCGTTTTCAAAAATGTTCGGTTTCAGTGAACTGGTGCTGCATTTGCGTGTGGACGAATGGTCTAACCGCGTAGAAAAAGCTGCGGTTTTAAAAATAACCGCATTCGTGTGGACAGGGCCTTAGAACAACTAACAATTTTGAAGCTGTTATTCATTGTTCAAATGCGCATGTATTCAAGTTAAAAAGAACTCCCAGAAATTCCCGTTTTCTTATCATAGACGTATGACTGTTACCCCATAAATCATAAACTCATCGGCGTCCAGATATCAGCACGAACAGTCCACACAGATGACAACACATTTCCAATGTCAATAAAAACACTGCACTTTCGACCATTCCATCATCAATTACCTCATTTCCATGCTTCTGTAGAAATTCTATTTCCTGTAGCGTGAAGGTTGTCATGGAGATGGACTTCACTCTGTGGGGGGGATTCAGGCCTCGTCTAAAGGGGAGAGAAAAAGCGATATGAGATAAAATGATAACATGTTAATTAAATAAAGTGTTGTAAATCGCTTGCAGTGTGAATCTGATTTTCTGCTCCCTCTCGCCGTAACTCTTCATTACAAACCTGCTTATTACACACAGATCTAGGACAAGGACAAAGTCAGACTGCTCGGCACCTCACCAAGTCTGTTTGCGGAGAGAACGAGAGCGTATGTGTGGAAGAGGGGGTGGAAGAGAGTGATAGTTTTAAGAGAGAGGTGAGCTAATGCTGCCTATGAATAATGTTGTTATTCGTATATAAGAGATGAGCACTAGGATGTCGTAATTAAATGTAGGAAACTGAATTTTCTTCAAACCCAGACTTTCTGAGTTAAAAGGCATGTCACCTAAAGAATCATGGCAGAATATGGGTCATAATTAAGCCATTTTATGAGGCGAAAGGCTTTATTTTCATTCTTTACCAGAACAAGAATGCTAAAATATATAAAGCATCAATTAAACACACAAGGACTTAATCATGAATCAGTGTAAATTTAATAAAACCATTCTTACTTAAACTGTCCCGCTGAAAGGAATGCAACAATTTAGAAATATGGTTTATAAATAAATAATACATTTCTTTCATTGTAAAGAAATTCCCGGGAAGAACTAGATGAGAAACTGAAGACAACTGGAAGAGCATCTGATGATTCAATGTGTCTTTGAATGAGTCTGTGCATGTGTGTTTATTCCACAGCCTCATGATCTCTGAACACTTGATCTCTGAATGCCCAAGAGCAATGTAAACATGTGTGAGGGTTGGCCATTTGAAAGCCTGTTTCCTTGCTGTATTTACCCTGTTAGCTTGCTCAGATTTGCTCTCTAGGGATCAGAGTCTGTGTACTGCAGGACACGCTGCCTCTGGTTCTCTTACGCATCTGTTTTGTTATTTCCATCCCCTGATCTTTTCCTTTTTCTTTCATCTAATGATGACATTTGCAGCTAATAACTAACAGGAAGTTAATTTAGGTAGTTGAAGGAACAGTTTTCCCAGTACTAAAAATTCATACTCAACTTCACGATCACCTGTCTTTCATGGAACACAAAATTCATTTTTGGCTGAACTACTCCTTTAAGTCACACACACGCACGCACACCTGTTTCTATGCCAGTGTGATAGGAGGGAGCATTTAGTACATGTGCAAGTATGGAAAAGACATTTTACGCTACTCTGCTGTCTCTCCGTGCTGAAACGGGTGACGGTTCATCTGACACCTGAGCCGCAACAGATGTTCAAAACACCATTCACACAAACACACCCCCTCGAAACCCCCAAAGGGCACATATACACACACACAAACTCACCACTTCTGCACTAACGATCGCTGCCTGTTTGCATGTGGTAATGCAAGTTCGCTGGTAAATTCCCCCAAAACAATTTTCCACCTCTAGGGACGTCATCTGTTACTTCCTCTACATTATATTATGAGTGTGTGTATGTCCCTATGGAGATGTGAGGCATTCAGTGAGAAATTCTGAAGGGCATGAACAGCAAGGCCTTGGTAATATTAGACCAGGTGCTAAATTATTCACACGACCTGCTGCGGGCCATTGGCACGGGGTTGGGATTCTGTAACCGTTGCCCCCAAGAACTATTCGGCTAAACTTCTTCAAGCCGAATATCTAACCAACTCAAGTCCCAAAAACTGCCTGAAACCAACAGCACCAGGAATAATTCTTCAGCAGCCTCATAGTATAATGTGTGATAATTATGTAAATGTGCTATGAATATGTATTTACATTAATTAATTTGGCAGCTGCTTAAATTCAAGGTGACTTACAGAGCATCTTACGCAGAAGAAATCTCTTAAAGTAACCAGAAGCGCCTTGCTCAAAACCACAATGGTAAAATCGTGCACATGTACATAAATAGTTAATCTAAAACTAAAAATAGTCATCATTTGCTTAGCCTCATGTGTCAAACCTGTATGACTTTCATCTGTGGAACATAAGAGGAGAAGTTTAGCAAAATGTCCCAGGTGGGTGCTCTTTTTCATACAACAGCAGTGAATGGGGACAGATGCCGTTGAGCTCTAAAAAGTACAACAGCTTCATAAAAGTGATCCATACAACTTT